AACTATATTGATTTAATTAACTGTATATATATATATATATATATATATATAATTTGTAATATATAATGTATAATTTAATTTGCCTTAATAATTGACATTAATATATATTTGCATATATATATAGTATTTATCTTAATTATTTACTTGAACTTACTTACCCTGATAGTTTAGGTGTTATGTTAAACATTAAACATAAACACACACACACACACACACACACCCACATACAAACACACACACACACCAACGCATATACGGTTTAATTTTTCAAATAATTTAATTAAACACTTAAGTATTTATACTAATATACTGAATATATATATATATATAATTTATTTACATAAATAAATAAAAGTATCAAAATAACAATTATTAATACTTATAGTGTACTTATGTTTTAAATAAGATTTTTGTTTATCTGGAAATTTTTTGATTTAGAAAAACATTATTCAACTATTTTTGTTTTTTTTGTAATTTTTTTTTAAAATAAATAAATAATTATTTATTGTAAAACTAGTCTACTATATACTAGTAAAGTGCACAAAATTTCTAATAATTATGTTTAATATGATTATTATATTAATTTTTTTAACATTTTATTTATTTTTTATTTAATTATTGTAATTTATAATTATAAGAATAAAAATTATAATTATTAGATAATTTATTAGTAAATTTATGTTAATTAATTAAAAATAATTAATTAATTAAAATATTAAATATAACTTGTTGTTTTGTAACTTTTAATTTTTTTGTTTATTATTAAATTTTCAACAACAAAAATATTATATTTTACATAATTTAAGCAAATAAATAAATTTATATAAGCATTATATACTATATATATAAATATATAAAAAAATAAGATAAATATGATATATATATATCAATAGTTTGCAAAAAAATATATTATAAATAAAATACTTGTGTTTTATTGTTATAATTTTTATTTCTAAAAAATTATATTATTTATATAATACTTAAATAAGTTTAATATTAAAAAAAATAATTATAATAATAATAATAATATTTTTAATTTAATCAAAATTAGATGATCATAACCGTAACAATAGGCAAACATCAGCGGCACCGGTATTCAAACAAAACAACATCACCGGCAGCACTGGCACTGGTGGTACAACCATCACGACTACCGTCATCAATGGTGTGACCAATACTACTACCACTACTACTACTATACCATCAGCAGCAGCTGGTGGGGGTCAGCAGCCGCCTATGATTGGCTTAATTAGTTGCAGCACTAGTAGTAATAGTAGTAATAGTTATAATACTAATACTAACAACAACAACACGACTGCTACTAATACTACTACCTGTCTATCGGACGTCTATGTGGACAATACACAAGTACTGGCCGTCCAATCATCACAACAACAACAACAACGACAGTCATTGACAGTCCATACCAATGATAGGCCGCCACCACTGGATAGTAGGTCATCGGGTAGTCATCATCGAGTGGTTACCGCATTGCGATCGACGGCCAATCCGTTAGCTACCGAAGCCCAACAAAGGCGTATCGTTAAAATGCTGTTTGTAGTGGTATTGGAGTTTTTCCTATGTTGGACACCCATCTATACGATCAATACGATCATTATTTACGCACCGGCAGCTGTCTACCGGGGACTGGGCTATCAGGGCATATCGTTTTTTCATTTGCTAGCCTTTTTCAGCAGTTGCACAAATCCGATAACCTATTGTTTTATGAACAGTAAGTTTAGGCAATCGTTTCTGCAATTGTTTCGCTGGTGTCGTCGGCATAATAATAATAACGGCGGTCCGGCCAACAATGGTATGGGTATGACTAGCAGTTGTATTACTAATGGTAGACATCTATCGTCTACCGGTGCTGTTGGTGGTAGTGGTAGTGGTGGTGGTGGGCCCGGTGTCGGTGATTGTATGACTGGTGGTACTGGTAGTATAGGTAGTGGTAGTGATTATAGACGATCTAATAGTACAAACAGTAGGATCAGTAGTAGAGGTGGTAGTAATAGGTGTCGACATCAGTCCAATTCCAGTACTAATAGTAGGTATACATAATATGACTGATTGATTGATTGATTGATTGTTAATAATTATAATATAATACTAATTAATATATAAACACAAAAAAATTAATAATTTATGATAATATGTTATATTTTCTCAATTTTCTCAGTGTTACTAAAATTAATATTTACTTAATATATATATTAAATTTAATTATTAATTAATTATTATTATACTATTTACACAATGTTTAACCTATATATTGTCAACATATATATATTGTTGTTATGACAAACTAATAATAATAATAATAATGAGAAATAAAATTTTCAAACAACAAAAAATAATAAAACAATTAATTTAAAAAATATTTTTGTGAAATATATCAGATATTTACTTTATAATTAACAACAACAAAAAATTAACATTAATATCAATATCTATATTAACTAAAGTCTATATTAACATTGTATTAGTAATACTGTACTATTATATATTGTTGAACATTATGTTATGCTAAAATTAATATAAATTATGTAAAAATATTTTAAATAATAATAATAATATATATATATAACAATATATATATATATTAATATATAATTGATATCATGTGTAAAAATAATAATAACTGTGTAATATTGAAAACATGTTGTTTGTTTGTATATGTTTTTAATATATTAAAAATGTTGATAATATTTTTGTTAAAATTATGTTGTTTTTTATTATTTCCATATTTAATTAAATTCAAACTTAAATTATGTTATTTTTAGACATTTTTTGATGATAATTATTAATATTAATATTAATATATTAGATTCATATACTAAAAACATTTTTATTTAATTTTTTTGTTGTTGTTTAAAAATATTCAGACATAATGTTAAAACAAATCTATCAAAAATAAATATATGAAAATTTTTTTTTAATGTAATTTAAATGTAATTTTCTAATAATAATAATTATATTGAAATTATTGAATTACTAAATTTTAAAAAGATAATTTTTTTATTATATGTAAGATAATAATATAATATTAAATTTCATTTTTACAATTGGCTTTACAATTGATAAATAATTTTATATAAAAAATATTATGTTAAATTTGTTTTTTTTGTTGAAAAATATGTTAATCTATACTATAAGTAATAAAATTGTTTTAAAATAAATAGTTTTAAAAACTAATAAAAATAAAAAAAAATTGTCTAGACTTTATTTTTTTTTTAAATAATTAATTAAAATAATATTTAATATATCTGTATATATCTATGTAAATACAAGTATATCTACATAATTATGATTTTATATATATATATATAATATTAACATTTAATTAAACAAACTGTGTGTTTGTTTGATAATTTATTTTAGATACACATTTTCTAGAAATACTAAAATTTAAAAATAAGCCAAAATTTTATTTGTTTTTTTTTTGCTAACTTTGAAATTAATTACATTATCAAAAAACAAACAATGTGTTTGCAAATTAATTAATTAATTAATTACACAATTCAATTGACTATTATATATACTGTATATATAGTGTATATTGTGTGTACTATACAATAGGCTAGTATAAACAATTAGCTATTATTATTAGTAGTAGTATTTTTAAAATTTATTTACTATATATATAATTATTTTTTAAAAATAATAATTATTTATGTTAACAATAATCAATTTATCATTATATACAAACAATATTTAGCAAATTTATTAGTGATTTTGTATTTATAATTATATTTTGTTTTTATAATTAGTATATATATAATGTCATTAACAATAATCAGATAATCTAAAATTTTATTTTTTTAATTAATGTATTTATTTAGTTAACATATATTTTTAGTGTATCCGATAAAAATAAATAAAATTTATTTATCAATTTTTAAAAAAAATATTATAAATTGAAGGTTTAATATATTATAATATATGATAATAATACTAATATATTATATCAATATTGTTAAATAAAACAAATGGGGATTTTTTTATTGATGTTTAGTATATTATAGTAATATACTGTATATTGTTTTTGCATTTATCAAACTATAGTAACTTTTTTATTTTATTTTATTTTATTTATGTACATAAGTAATTGTCACATTAGATATATACTGTATATATATATACTGTATATATATATATATCTGTATATATATATACTGTATATAAATGTTATAATTTACGATGTTAATATATCGACTATTTTTTTATATCATATGATATTATATATGACCAAGGTACATACATATATTATTATTATTAATAATTATTATTATTATTTTATTAACTTTTATTAGTTGCAATAGCAATATTTAATTTAAAATAAACTTTTATTTTTATAATAATGAAAATAATTATTTTATATATATATATATATATATATATATATATATAACACATTAACAATATATATACATAATGTATATATATATATATATATATATATACCTTGATAATACTATATTAATATAAGTTGATTGATGCAATTTGTGAAATCTAGTAAATCTATAGAGAGAGAGAGAGAGAGAGAGAGTCTAGTAAAATAAATTGAGCTTGGTCATCCATATAAAATAAATTATTAATAGTAGTAGTAGTAGTAGTAGTAGTAGTAGTAGTGATAATATAAAATATATGCTGAAACACAACACATATGCCGAAACTTTATTGGGTTAATAATATGATAATTACAGTACAGTACATGTATAATACATATATTTATATATTGCATATATACAGTATATAAGTATTATAGTATAGTACATATATTATTTCAAAAATATTATATATATATATTTTTTAAAAATGTACTAGTAGCATTTACTAGTAGTATTATTATTATTGTTATAAATTTGATTATTTAAGATAAAAAAATGATTTTAAAGTACCCGATAATAATAATATAAAAAAAGGATTAAATTATTTTTTTTATTATTATATTATCATTGATAGAAATTGTTATTTATATATATATATATATATATACA